TCCCAGAGGGTACCCCGAGTGCTGCCGGGGGCCAGGGACACCCTGGCCCACACTCGGTGACTGCATGTGCCAGGGCCTGGGTGGCACCTGTGGGTGCTCAGGATTGGCTGAGTCGCTGCGTCAGGGCCACGTAGTTCTTGTGGTGTTACTAGCGGCGGCTGTGCATGGGGTGCCCTCGTCCTGGAGCGGGGGAGCCCCTACCTGGCTCTGCCATCCACCGCAGCAGCAGGAGAGGACGCTGGCGCCCCTACCCTAGTGGGCAGGAGCCCTGTTGGGCCTTGCTTCAGATTGCTGCTGTTCCTCAACAAAGCACTAGAGGGTGCCCGTGACCCACGATGGCCACACCGGCCAGCACTTGTCCTCTGCCGTCCCTGTGGTGGCCGCTGGGTGGCCTGGGGCGTGCTGAGAGCTGTTGTGCTCATGGTAGCCAGTCCCCAGGCGCCCCTCCTGCACAAGGCCTGGGCGCAGGGTCTCGGGCACAAGCTCTCCTGGCCCAGGATGAGAAGTGGGGGGGTCACAAAGAGGGGTGAGCCCTGCCCTGCCTCCGTCCTGGCCACGGCAGGGTGGACACGGTAGTGGGCACACAGGGAAGGGGACTTGGGGGGAGTCAGCACTGCACCCTAACTCAGTGCCCCGTCCACTGGGCCCCGCCGGGCCGTCGCCCCCACGTACCCCACTCCACTCATGCCATTCCCACAAGGTTGGGGTCATGGCTCCATTTTACAGTCAGGGAAACTGGGGCGCAGAGAGTAATGCAAGCTATTCCTGCAGTCCCCCTGGCTGAGGGGCCCCGTCCTGGCTGTCAGAATCACCCCCACCCCAGGCCCTCAAAAACCAAAACTCAGCTGTGGGATGCGGCCACATTCCCTGGTGGTTCAAGTGGCAGCTGAGCCCAGGCCGGGCATTGGCAGGAGCAGAAGCGCAGCCAGGCTCCACGCTGCAGCCCTGCAGGGGCGGCCGACGCCCACGTCTGGTGTCTGCCCCATGCTAAGGACTGCAGCGTGGGATCCTGGCTGGAGCCCCGCCCTCCACAAACTCCCGTCCTTCCCCAAGTCCTGCGTGGGCTCCTGCACCAGGGGTCCCCCATGGGCCGGGGTCCCCACATACAGCCCGCACCTCCTAGGGCTGGAATCCCAGCCAAGCCCTGCCCCTCAGGAAATAGGCTTTTAATAGCCCGAGGCGGGCACATAATTAACAAATAACAGTTCTGGCCTACACACAAACGAGCTCCTTGTCTGGGGCAGGGCTTGCGTTTGGTTTTTAATCCCCAAAGTCTGCTTGATTCCTTGAGAGCTCCCTCCTGCCCTCCGCCTCTGCCCTCCTCCCGCACCTCCCCTGGGCTCAGGAGGGACGGTCGCTTCCAAATGCAGCCTGTCTCTTTGTCCTCCAGCCCCGGCCGCTGTGACAATGCCCGTGTGGCCAGGAGGAAGCTGGCTTTCTGTTAGGGTTTCTGAATGCTCCAGGAGGCAGCCCTGGGGACCGCCCTGGGAGGCCCCGCTGCCCCGGTGAGCTCGTCAGCGCCTCCTCCGGTGGGGGCTTCCTGGAAACCTTTAGGGGTGCGGAGCGGCGCACATGCTGTCACATCCACAAGGCCACACACAGCCCGCACACTGCACACAGCAGCCGGGCTTGGGGCCGGGGCCGGGGCTGAGGCTGGGGCTGGGGCTGGGGCTGGGGCCGGGGCCGGGGTTGGGTGAGGTTTGCCTGACCTCAGTCAGGCCCCTGAAGTTCTGCGTCCGGCAGAAGCAGCCACACCCAGAGCCGCTTCTGAGGTTGTCCTGGGCCCCCGCTGCTGCCTGCCCCTAGGAAGTTTTGTTGGGGTGGAGCTCACTGGTCACCGCCACAGCTGTGTGGCTGAGGACCAGCTACAGAGGCAGAGTGGAACCATGCCACGGCCCCTGTTGGGAGCAGTCACCAGGACCTCTCAGAGAGCTGGGGCTCCGGGAAGCACACCTCTGGTGGGACACAGGCCTGAGTGCCCTCGCAGCTGTTTATCTGTGGGGGACTCACTGCCCTCTCTGGTCCCCAGTTTCCCAATATAACCGCTGTGCTTTAAAGGAAATAAGAAAATAGTTTATTCTGAGCCAACTAGGAGCACCTGTGGCCCGGAATGTGGATTCGGCTCACCTGAATGACACGTTCCACGGGGCCGGGGCTCACGTGCGCCTTGCCGGTCACAGCCCAAAGAGTCATGCGCAGTACGTTTAGTGGTGACGTTGGCGTGGCTCTTGGACGCCCAGTGTCGCGGGCTTGCGGGTGAACAGAGACTGTGCCCAGCACCGCAGCCCGGGCGTCAGAGCAGCAGTGGAGGCCCGGCAGGCCCTCCACCGGGCGAGCTGAGGTCGTAGCGCACTTCGCAGGCCCGGAGAGCAGCTGTGTCTTGCTGGGCACACACGGCTGGTGGCCTGGCTCCAAAGCCTCTGGTCCCAGCACAGGGCCACCTCCTGCACCTGAGCACACAGCTGGTGCCCAGACTGCAGCGGGGCCCAGGGCAGGGCTTCCGGGCATCCAGAGGCGGCGCCTTCCTGGACTGGAACAGGACAGGTGCCGTGGGCTGGCCTCTCGGGAACCCCTGCCAGCATCGCCGCTGTCCTCCAAGACGTGACCGGCTGCCCCTGCGCGCGCGGGGCTTGAGCAGCAGCTGCTGCTGTTCCTGAGTCTTGGGGGTCAGAACCAAGGAGGGGCCCAGGGGTGCCGGCACATTCGAGGGGCCACAGGACCACTGCCAAGGAGGCTCCCTCCGTGGGTGGGGCGGCCTCAGTGCCTCCCGTGGCCTTCTCCAGCTTCACGAATGTCCCTGTTGTGTGGCACTTACCGCCAGCCCCAGCTGACAGGGAGGAAGAGTCACCATGCAGGGCTCAGACTCCAGGACTGCATTTTTATTTTTATTTTGTTTTTCAGTACTGGGAATGAATGCAAGGCCTTCATACTGAGCTACATCCCAGGCCCTTTTTATTTTTATTTTGAAACAGGGTCTTGCTAAATCATTAATTTGCCCAGACTGGGCTCAAACTTGAGCTCCTCCTGCCTCAGCCTCCCAGAGTGCGGGGATGACAGGCACACACCACCACACATGACTGGGCCCCCAGTCCTATGGACGTCAGTGGGACCACTGGCCTGACACAGCGTGGCTCCTTGGGAGCACAGTCCTGGGGGTGCCTGGGGCAGCCCAAGAGCAGCAGGTCATGGTCCCCACGTCACACAGCTCAGCCAGGCCCATCCCTGGCACCAGAACTCATTCCCTGCCAGCCTGGTGCTCCCAGGGACACAACAAGAGGACACAGGGCCGGGGCTGGCAGGCTGGATCCATCAGCGCCTGGAGTGTTCTGTTTGTCTCTTGCAAAAGTTAAAGCCCTGCTGCTCGCTGTCCCGGGCACAAGGGAGGTGGAGGAGTGGGGTGGGGCACCCCGGGTGCTCCCAGCCAAGGAGACTGAAACACAAGTGGAGTGCCGTGGGTGAGGTCAGGGCTGGAAGGCGTGGAGACAGGATGCCTGCAGACAGGCCAGCGAGGGAACGAGCCTGTAGATCTCTTCCCCAAAGCAGGGCTTGTCATGCTGGGTTTTGAAGGATACGTAAGAGCTCATTACCCTGATAAGGGAAGAAAGCACATTCCAGGCTGGGGCACAGCAAATGCCAAGGCTTGAGGAGGTCTGGAGCAGGTGGGCAGGTGGTGGGAGGGGAGGGGAGATGGTGAGGGCTGAGAGCGGGCCTGGGGTGCTGAGCAGCCGAGGATCAGCATTTCCCAGAATACCCTCCAACTCAGGCTCTGAGGGATGCAGACAGGTGTCCTCCAGGAGTGGGCTCCGGGCTCGGCTAAGTTTGGAGAGTGGGAGCGGGAGTTCTCGGAGCCCTCACTCCCGGGCACATCATGCATCTCCCAGAAGGGTGGGGCAGGACGCAGCAGATACGGGCGATTCCCAAACTTGCTTGATCTCGGAACCCCTCCCTGAGGAGCCTCAGCATTGCAGAGACTGAAATTCCAGACTTAGGGAAATGCTGCCGGGGCCGTCCTGAGCTAGCGAGTGTTCCAGGCAGGATGCGGTGTGCTGGGTTTGCCGTTTCTGGCTGCTGCTGGCAGGGTGGACTGCAGAGGGCTGAGCGCAGGCAGAAGCACAAGTAGCGGCAAGAGCTGCTGAGGAGGAGGCTCTGCGGGCAGCGGCTGCCCAGGGCGCGAAGGCCGGGCGGCCCAGAGCAGCGGGGCTGTTGGCAGCGCACCGCGAGGTGCTCAGTGGCAGCCGGGCCAGACGGCCTGTGTGTGTTTGTGGGCAAGCTGGGCTCGTGGACTCAGCCACACAAAGAGCGCGGACGCGTTCCTAGGAAAGCACAAATTGACACAAGGGGGCCGGAGCCGGAGCAGCCCCCGTCTGCTAAAGAACCCAGCGGTGAACGGTGGTGCATGCCTGTCATCCCAGCACTCTGAGAGGCTGAGGCAGGACGATCACAAGTTCAGGCCCAGTCTGGGCAACTGAGTGACTTAAGCAAGACACTGTCCCAAAGTAAGAGACTTGAAAAGGGCTGGGGATGGAGCTCAGCACGAAGGTCCCGGGCTCAATCTCCAGTCCTGAAAGACAATAAACCCTGTTCCAAGAGACACACATGACTGCAGGCCCCGGTATTTGCCTTGGTAAATCTACATACAGCCAGTGCGGCGGGGAGAGCGCAGATCCCATTAGAAGACAGCCTGCCAGTCTGCGGGAGCCGTGACCTCGGGCATAGCTCAGGGTCAAGCGGGTCTCGGCATGGGTTCGAATCTGTCCTGTGCGGTATACCGTCCTCCTCGCCGTGTGTCCATCCCACTGTGTGAGTGGGATACTGTGCAGCACCACCCTCACAGTATGCAGGCTGCCAAGGGATCCCTGGACCCTCCTGTGCCTCAGTTTCCCCATCTGTGAAGTAGGAATGTTGATGCCACCGGGCTGAGCGGGCAGGTGGGCAGCAGGAACCAGCGGCATTGACGCCTGTCTCTCTGTCCTGTGTGTCTACGTGTGCCTCCCGCCCAGGCTTTAAGACCTGTGTCAGCGCCAGTGGCAGCCACGACGAGGCCCCGGTCCTGAGTGACAAGCACCTGGACGTGCCTGACATCATCATCACGCCCCCCACGCCCACGGGCATGGTGCTGCCCCGGGACTCCAGGCGGACAGGTGAGCCCCTGTGCCGATGGGACTTGGTCCGCACCCGCCCAGCACGATGGGACGTGTGGCCCCGATCATGGACGCTCCATGGGGGGCCCCCCACTGCGCGCCCCCACCCCTCCAGTGACATGCAGCACGCTCACCCTCACTGCAGCCGGGACGGGGACGGGTAGGGCTGGGCTGGGAAGCTGACAGATGTGCCCACTTGGCCAGCATGGCTGTGTTCATCTTCTGGGTCCCATTGCATGTGGACGGGACATGTGTGAGGGCAGCCACACCGGGCCTTCAGAGGCCCTGGGTGCCGAGGGGTAGGTGGGCGGCCCAGGCTCCCGACCTCGGCCCTGCCCTCCACTCTATGGGGACGTTGGAGCCGGGGGAAGATGGCTGCCCTGGTCCTGAGCAGACGGGTGGAGCCAGCCGCACCTGGTCTGAGGCAGCCCCACGACGGTGACGGTGACAGCGATGGTGATGACGGTGGAGGCAGCGTGCCCGCTGTGTGAGCAGCAGGATTTCCTGTGTGGGCCTCCCAGGGACTCTGAGTCAGGGTCACATCGCCCCTGCTTTGTCCCGGGTAAACTGCTTGTCCCTCAGGCCCTGAGGCTGGACGCCCTCCCAGATGGTGCAGCTCAGCCAGCCGGCCGCGGTGACACAGGTCCAGCACAGGTCAACAGGGTAGGGGAAGGCCCAGCCAGGGCTGGCGCTTGGGTAGGTGCTCCACACTGTCACCCGGACCAGGTGGCCAGAGGACGATGCCATCGAACCGTGGGCCAGGCCCCGGGCAGGTATGGCGGGCCACACTTGGTGACTGCGATAAGTCACCCTGTTTTGCCCCAGGGGGGGCCCTGTAGAGAAAATTTTTTTGGTACTGGGGATTGCATGCTGGGCCTCCATCCTGAGCTCCATCTGCAGCCCTTTTTATTTTTAAATTCTGAGACACGGTATGGGCATAGGGGAGGCATGTGGTTACTCCATAAGGTCTGTGGGTGACCTTTCTGGGCCTTTGAGCTTGGGGTGACCAACTCCAAAGTGACGCACACAGGCACTTCTTGATTGCATTCGGGGTGTCCAGGCAGCAAGGCCTTGACCCCTGCCTGGGCTTTGACTCCTCCGTAAAACCTGGGGCACCGGTCTCCCCTGCTCTCCGGAAGGAGGCTGAGCCGAGAGCCCAAGACATCAGAGGGTGACCCGGGGAATAGGCAGGGGAATCCCAGAGACCAGCACCCTGGGACCCTTGCGGCCTCTGGGGATACCGCTGCGCGATGTTGGGGGACCCTGGCCCAGCCACTGCGTGCAGGGAAGGGGCCCCTCCTGACATGACCCCTCTTGCTCCTAGATTGGCTGGACGAGACGGGGTCTTGCCCAGACGACGCGGAGCTGGACCCTGAGGCGTAAGGAGGAGGCTGGACAGACCTGCCCGGCGGCTCCCGCGGCACCTCGCTTGGCATCCAGGCCTCAGCTGCCTGCGCAGATGTGCTGAACAGCTGGGTGGGGACCTAGAAGCCGGCCCTGACCAGTGGGTGGCAGGGTGAGCGCAGGGCGCCGGCACCAGAGCACTGCTGAGAGGACAGAGGAAGATGACGACGACAACGCCGGACACCCCTGTGCCGCTGCTGCGCCGCGTGGCGATGGGAGAGGCCCCTGCCCGCGGCCATGGTGGTGCTGCTGGGAGCAAGGGGCACAGCGGCTTGCAGACAAACCCTGCCCCCGAGGCCAGCAACAAGGACTTCTCAGAAGAGGAGTGGCTCCATTTTTTACGAGTTGTTTTACAGATCCTGACACAGGCCCAGGGGTGATTTATAAGTCCTTTTTTGCATTATAAATAAAGAGAGTCCCTGAGGAATGGGGACTCCCACTTCTCGTGGCAGTGGAGCGCCCCAGGGAGAGAGGTGGGGGCTGGAGAACCGCTGACCCCGGCTCGGGGTGTGCTCTGGCTGCCTGGCCTCATGCTGCCCCAGCTCAGGCCCCGCCGGCGGTGAGGGCCTGGCGACAGCTTATCCCTTGGATGGAGCCAATGTGTGTGATTTAAAAGAACATCAGGCCCTCAGTGTCCCCGTGTCCCTGTAGACCACGCCGATCTTGGCTTGTGTGGCTGTGTTCATTTCTGCAGCTTGGTTTTCCCACTGTCCCCAGAGGCAGGGCCTGAGCCAGGGTTTGGGTGCACTGGGTGATTTGGGAGGCCGTCCTGGGGCTCCAGGGTGCCATGGCCACCGTCGGTCTGCTCACCCCTAGGAGCCCCTGGGGACTCGGGAGAGCCGTCAGAGGCGTGGCCTGCTGTCACCGCAAGCCACGCAGACCACAGTCGGGTGGACCCTCTGGCTCCTGCCTCCTCGTCCTCAGGTTGCTACGGAGGCATCGCCTGCAGGGGACGTGTTCCACCCGCCTGCGCTCTGTGGGACCTCCTCCCCGTGGAGGGCAGCCCACCGCCCGGGCACAGCGCTGCGCTCAGCACCCGCTGCTCCCCAGGCTCCCCCCAGGGACTGGCCTTTGCTTGTCCCACAGCCACGCAGCAGACCTGACCGTGCTCGCTTTTTAGTCTGGGGATGCTGGGACCAAGGGGTGCCCCCTAGGCTCTGTTCGGCTACCTGCCTGCTAGTGCTCTGCGCGCCTGGCTTTTAGTGCCCATGGCAACAGGCCCCGGGCTGCGAGCTGCTTGCTGGCGGGGGCGGGGGGCTGGCTGGGCACTGCCAGGTTTCTCCATCTGCCTTCCTTTTGGGGTGGGGGTGGCGGGCTCCCTCCATCTCCTGAACAGGGGTGCTGGCCCGGGGCGTCCGCGCCAGCACCAGACTTTGAGCCTCCTGCAGCCAGAGGTCTCACCCAGCACAGCATCTCAGAGGAGTTGGCACTAGGAGGGCCCGACTCTGATGACGCCTGCTGCGTGAGGACAGCTGTGCCCCATGTCCAGTGCGCCCGGCCGGCTCTGCCTCCCATGAGGGAGAACATGGCAGCGGCCGCCTCCGTCCGTGCTCTTGCATGGCAGGGACGAGAGCCAGACAAGGCCTCCCTGCAGCCCTGGTGCCTCTTATGAGCCGGGGGGGCGGGGGGGGGCAGAGCAAGTACAAGCTTTGCTTCACTTTGACATCCAGCATGCCTTTGTGCTGTGTGACCTTGGAAATCACTCAGCCTCTCTGAGCCTTTCCTCCACCCGCAAAGTAGAGACAGTGACAAAATCTACCTCAAGAGCAGTGTGTGAGGGTTGAGAAAAAGGATCCACAGAACACCTAGCCATCCGGTCAGGCAGGTCCCTGCCTATCTGGGCCTTGGTTACCACAGGGGTCTGAGGACTGTGTGACACTGAGGGTGTGAGTGCGGGTGGGGTGGTAAGGAGGACTCAAGCAGACCCTGGGGTCATCCCTGGTGGACGCCGCCTGCCCTCCCCTGCTGTGACAGCACCGTCCGCACCAGTGAGAGCCTCCTTCCCTGGGTGCGGGGTTCCTGGAGGCCACCTGGAAGAGATGGGCCTGACACCCTGGAGGTGGCCCTCGCACCCCAAAGGGGCCTGGGGATGCGCCCTGGGTCCCCAGAGGTGGGGGCGGCTCCCCTCGGTAACGAGCTGTTAGCTTCCTGTCGCTGTGACAGCGGACTTAAGCATAGCACAGCTCGCCCTTCCCACAGTTCCAGCAGTTCGTTCCTTCCAGGCCTGTGGTGAGGCGGGACCAGCACGGCAGAAGAGCGCGGCTGAGGAACGCTTCACGGGTGGTGCCTGGGAAGCAGGGGGAGACACAGAGACAGAGGGACAGAGGGGGACGGGGACGGGGACAGAGGCGAGTGCTGGAGAGCCAGCGGAGAAGGGCCAGAGATGAAATGCACCTTCGAAGCCCAGCCCAAGCGACCCGCTTGGCTCAGCCAGGCCCGGCTCCTCATGACTGAGCCGTGCTGAAGACGGAGCCCTCAGCCTCCGGTCACTTCCTGCAGCCCCGGTTCAGCACCTTGGGGACCACACCCACAGCACGTGACGCCTGGGCCACGCTTCTGATCCAAACCATGACGTGCGCCCTCGGTGGAGACTGGGTCCAAGTTCCAGTCCTGATGACGGAGTCTGGGATGGGTCTGTAGATTTTTAAAAAAAATTTTCTCTGTGTGTGTGTGTGTGTGTGTTACTGCGGATTGAATGGACCAAGAGCTGCATCCCCAGTCGTCCTCGTCATCATCATCATCATCTTATTATTATTTTGAGACAGCATCTCACAAAATTGCCCAGGCTGGACTTGAATTTGTGGTCTTCCTGCCTCAGCCTTCTGAGTAGCTGCAATTAAAAGCAGGACATGTCTTTCATTTGTGATGCTGGGGATGGAATCTAGGCTCTAGAGCATGCTAGGGATGTGCCTCTGAGCTGTACCCTCAGCCCCACTGTATCTCTCTAAGCAGCTCGCAAGAGCTCCGGCTGAGGGTCCAGAGACCCCACTTTGGGTGGCAGGTTTCACAGCCATCCACAGGTTCTCAGCCGGGTGAGCTCCCCGTCGCCAGCAGCAGGAACACGTGCTGGCTTCTTGCCAGGTGCCCCGGCTCAGGCCCCGCTCCCCGCCCCCTGTGGCCTTCTGGATAAACCTATGCCCCACCCGAGACGACATTATCCTTGTGTGCTCTGCCCATGGCCACCTGGAGCAGTTATTGAGCCCCCTTTCCTCAGTCTTCCCACGGGAACGAGAGTGGCAGGTTAAAGGAGGGACACATGCCAGTGACCATACCCCTGGCCCACGGGCTTCAAGCCTCTAACACGTGAGTGACAATGCTGGTGTTTGCTGGCTCCCACACAAACCTCGCGGTCACTGCGGGGGGATGCTCTGGAGATGGGGTGTGCGCCTGTTGGGGCTGGCCCGGAATGAGGAGACTAGGAACCCAAAACCTGGCTCCCTGAGTCTTCCTCTGAGTTTGTCCTTGAGTACATTCTGGGGGTTGGCTACTGAGGTCTGCGGTTCATTCCTTATGCATTTTTAATGTCCAAGCCAAGAATATTCATTAAAGCCAACGATGAAAAAGCGCTGCGAACGACTCCCCCAAGCATGCCGGGTGGGCAGGGGTCACGGTAAATGGTCGCACTGGGCTACAGAGCCTGTTAGCCCTGACTGGGTGTCCAGGGGCTGTTCCCGGGTTCCAAGAGATGAGGGAACGTTCTGGTCCTGCAACTTGAGATGCAGGCTGTCTTCCTCCAGGAATGAGGCTGGGACGGGAGAGAAGTGTGAGAACAGATGGAAATGTAATTTTTTAATGACAGCAGCAGATGGCAAAAAGACACAAGAGTGTATTCACACCATGTCGGAGGCACGCGAGAGCGCCCGGCCTTGCAGTAATGCACGCGGCGGGGCTGTCGTGCCAGCCCCCGCCAGGCCCAGGGGGCGGCCAGCTGCAAGAAGCAACCAGGGCTGCGGGGAGGGCGGGACGCTGCCAGGCTGTGTGAGCCACAGGTAGGTGGGAGGTGCCTGTGGCCACCTGCTCGGATCCAGCCTTTCCCGGCCCAGCTCACGCCCCAAAAGGTGCCGGATGCAGACAGACCCTGCTCTCAGGCACCCCCACGGCTCACCTGCCACCAGCTGTCCCGCCTGCTGTACCGTGTCACGTCCCTCCATGCACTCGGGGGTTCTCTGATGCAAATCATCTTGTCACTCTCCTACCTGCACGCCTTAATGTCCCAGAAAGGAGGGGACATGTGCAGGCCCTGGAGAGCCGGCTTCACTTGTCCCCACACCCAGCATGGCGGACAGCACCTCGTGCAACATGGAGAAAGTCCTGTTGCCATCTTAAGGGTAGATACTGCCAGGGACTGAACGAAGCTGTGTCAGACACAGGCGGCCCTCACCTGGGTCATCATCAGCTCCTTTCGGCAAGCAGCAGCAGGTGAAGCGGTAAAGCGATGGGCACACCCAGTCAGGGTCCCGACTGCAGCGGGCCGGCCCTGCAGGAGGCTGCTGACCTCCGCAGCTCAAAGCCCAGGGGACAGGAACACGTCCTGGTCCTCCTCTCCTACTGCCAGGGCCGCTTGAGAGTGCACTGCCCGCTTGTTTCAGCTACTGTAACACAAGGGGGCGCCCTCCACCCCAAGGTTTCCATGCTACACTTTTCTGTATTTCTAGTCCCCTCCCTAGCGGCGACAGAGTCACCACCTGCTACTCACTGCTGCGTCTCAAGTTCCCTCAACACCACAGGAGAGAGCACTGTGCCATCCCCTGGGCTGGGGAGGCTGAGAGCCCTGTGCCCAGGCTGCCCGGGGAGGCTCTGATTTCCTTGGCCCAGCAAGGCAGGGGCAACGACGGCGGGCGACTGTTCTGCCCAGGGAGGCTGCCAGGCCGGTGAATGTCTCCCCCAACTCCACCCTTCAAGGGCTGGAATCTCCCCTCTGCTGGCCTGCGGTAAGCAGAGTAAGAAAGTCCTTCAGTAAGAAAGTCCGAGGAGTCAGAGGCTGAAGGAACACATTGCAGGCTGTGGACCCCAGGGGCCTCCCAAATGGCTCAACCCCAGAATGACCTGGGCGCTGCGCCACAGGCAGTCCTGGTCCCAAGAGCTGGCATCCCCGATGTCAGCCACGCAAGCGAGTGACCCTCCAGAGCACCCCAGCCCCCATCCCATCCCTGTGCCGCGTGGGTCATCTTGCAAGAGCTGTCTCCCCCTTGCGGGGGGAGGCCCACCACACTGAGTGCCACAGAGCGTCTCTGTCACCCAGGGAAGATCGCTGCTGTGACGTTGAGTGTATTTGATGTCCAAGTGGATGGCCCATTTTGGTGAACTGTTTGGGTGGTCTAAGTTCTAACAGAACCAAAAGGTACAGCAGAGCTGCTATCCTAAGGGGGAAACTGGCTCATAGTTTCAGGATGGTTTCTGTAGTGTTTTGGGGACCTGAGGACTTTTCAAGAAATGAACTTCTAAAAAATATTATTTTTATTAGCACAGACATTAGTACAGGTACTAATGTACCGTGTCGCTTGCAGGACATGGTTGTATTCGTCACGGGGAGCTGGTACATGTATACAGCACATCTTAATTCTCTTCTCATCTCCTCCCCTCCCTTCCTTTCCCTTCCCTCTGTCTCTTAGTCCCTTTCCCTTTGCAGTTTTTAGCCAGGCATGGTGGCACAGGCCTGTAATCTCAGCATTCAGGGAGCTGGAGGCAGGAGGGCCGAAAGTTCAAACCCGACCTGGGCCACTTAGCGACTTAGCGAGACCTTGTCTCAAGATATAGGGGTGCTGGGTATGCAGCTCAGTGTGGAGGCCCTGGGTTCAATCCCCAGTACTGCAACAAACCAACAAACAAAACCGCTTTATTAAGGACTATTTCACATGGTATAAATTCCATCCTTGAAAAGTGTACAATTTGATAGCGTTAGTAAATTTACAGTTATGTACCCATCACCTCTCTCCCTCTCTCTCTCTCACTTTCTTTCTTTCTTGTCATTTTGAGACAGGGTCTCAGTATGCAGTTCAGGTTGGCCTTGAGCTCACTTTGTAGCCCAGGCTGGCCTCAAACTCACAATCCTCCTGCCTCAGCCTCCCCAGTGCTGGGATTACAGGCGTGCGCCACCACGCCTGGCAAATCACCACTTTCTAACACCAGACTATTTCTGTCACCCCTAAAGGAAGACTAGCTCCCATTAACAGTCGCTCTGTACCCTCCCTCTCCCATCCCCTGGCAACCATTAATCTTTCTGTTTCTACGGATTTGCCTGTTCTGGAGATTTGGCTGAAATGGATTCATACAACAGGTGGACATGCATGTGTGTCTCGCTCACGTGGCCCCGCGCCTGGGAGGCTCGCCTGTGCGTGGCGTGTTTGAGACGGTAGCTGACCGGCACCCAGCGTTGGGAGAGGCCCCCTTCGGGACGTGGGGTGCTTTGAGTCCTGGGTGTTAGGGATCACGCTGTGCGTTCTGTTGGGCGCACACTGCCTCGTCTGCTCTCCCAGAAGCCCCGTGGCGTCAGCAGCGGCACTGTCCTACTGCACAGAGAAGGACTCGGAGGCTCTGGAGGCGGACCTCCCGAGGCGTCGTCTCCCATGGCGGCTTCCCCCAGCGCCTTTCCCTTGCTCTTTTGTAGCCTACACAAACCAGGAAGTGAAGCCTCGCCAACTCGGGAATGCAAATATTTGCCAGTCAAGAAAACATTCCTCCATCAATCAAAACCCAGACAAGCTGGCTCGCAGGCCCCGCAGAAGCCGCAGGCAGATCCTATTCGGGCAAGGACCAGGTGGCCCGCAGCTTCCTCTCCTGCTGAGGCCCCTCCCCCGGCTCCTTGTCTCCGTACCCTGCTGTGAGCACAAGGAGCCCGGGTGCAGTGGCCCCTTGTCCTCCGTCACACAGCACCGGGGGTGACCTTTTACTGATTTTTATTGAGGGACTATTTGTCCCAGTTCCCGACTTAATGAAGGTTGCAGAAAATCTGTGGGTCTGCAGATGACAACTTCCAACGCAGACAAATGACAGACAAAGCTTCTGAGACAGGCGTGGGTGCAGCCGAGCCCAGTGTCCCCAGAGCCCCACATGGGCAGGTTTCAGGGATTCAGGAAGCGGGGCCCCGGGTTAGCTAGGAACAGGCAGCTTTCCCGCCAGACGGAGAAACCTTGGAGCCCCCACATCCTCTGTACTTCTCTCAGGGCCCAATGGTTGGGGCTTCAAATTCGAATCCAGCCTCGCTGGAGGCTCTCCTGGGCTACAGCCACCTGTTGGTATCACCCGGGGCCCGACTCAGATCTCACGGGTGCTTCCCAGGAGAGCCCAGCAGAGTCCCGACAGGTGCCTCTCCGGCACCGCGTTCAGCACAGGGCGCGCAGCTCAGGCAGCAGGTGTGCAGTGGGCGGCCATCTGCAAACCCCACCTGCAGCAGCCTGCTCGGGCTCGCTAAGCGCAAGCTGTGTGCCTTTTCCCGAGTGCGACCGCGACAGGGGCGGGCTGGGGTGGCGGAGCTGCGTTTTTACAGACTTTGAACTAAAGCGCAGAGAGCGCTCAAAGGAAAACCCTTTCTCCATTCGGCTGATCATCTGTACAGGCCAGGCCGCGTCACCCACCAGCCGGGTGATGAAAGAATGCATTTCCTCTCGGCCCAGTGCAAACCGCGGCTGAAGACGCGGCTCCCCACATCCCCCGAGTCCTCCCGCAGGCGGGCACCCGGGGGAAGGTGAAGGGACCCCAAGCCTAGCACCAGGGGACCGACAGCGGTGTGGGGGAGCCCGGCTGGGCCAAGGCGGAGCAGGGGCGGGGCCAGAGCGGGGATGGGCGGTGCCGGGAGGGGCGAGTCCCGGGCCCAGGATGGGGCGGGCCAGGGCACGTGACCGGGCGAGGGCAGAGGGCAGGGAGCAGGCCCACCCTCGAGGCGAGGCTGACGCCGTCTCGCTCAGACTCACCAATCCGCGGGCTCGTAACAAGCACGGTCTGCACCTCCCACCGCCCTGAGAAGAGTGCCGCGTTCCGATTGGTCAGCGGAAGCGATTTTCCGGTCGGGGGCGGGCCCCGAGCCGCGGCGGGAAAAGCGGCGGCCGTGGCGCGTCTTCCGAGCGGCCCCGGGCTGTGAGGGGCTCCCCGTCGGCGTGCGGCGTCGCCATGGACGCGGCCGAGGTGGAGTTCCTGGCCGAGAAGGAGCTGGTTACCATCATCCCGAACTTCAGTCTCGATAAGATCTACCTTATCGGGGTGAGCGCCTCGGGCTCCCCGGCGCGGGCGGGGCGGG